TACTAGGTGCATCTCGATATCATATTTCTTGAACTACTGTATTGCTGAATCAGGAGTTGTAGGATTTGGGATTATATAACTGATAATATAATTGAGAATGGAATAGCTGTGGATTACACATTAGAACTGGATCGATCACCCTGTAACTATTTTCAAAATGTGTTGTTTCTACCTAACTGATAAGTCACTCCTCTAAAATAACAAGTTGTTGCAGCATTGAACGATTTATGAAACTGGAAAATAGCTTTCACAACCCTGTTTGGCAATAGGTTTTTAGATTGACAAATTCACTAATTAGTGATAAGTATGTTCTTATTGATTTGGGAACTTATATGTCCAGATTGTTGTTATGTCATTAGTTTGGAGCCTGGGGTGATGTGGAGTGAGATGTAGTGAATGAGGCCACTGATGGCAGAGAAGCCCTTGTCACCTAAGGACACAAACTGTACTCTAGCACGGGCCCACAGCTGCACAGTGAGGAAAAACTGTCATAAAATAGCAGAGCAAACACTCAGAATGAATTATGGTTAAATAGAATTCATGAACAAATTGTAAGAGTTTGCATATGCTTGCAAATTGATCAGCTCAGGTAAAACTTCAAAAGCATACTCTCCCCATCCCTTTTGCTTCTCACCCCCCACCCAATTTCTGTCTGAAAATATTTAGAGAAAATGTAGTTTGCTGTCGGGAACATAAAAGAAACATCTAAAGGGAACCCCAACATTGCTCAAACTCCTGATTCTCTTTAATCTGCTTTATGTTTTGTTGTCAAATATCATATTTTGAAGAGATCTTTGGAATTGAGAAAATGTCCTGTAACAATGTCTAAGAAATCTTTGCTTACCCCAAAGTCATGAACAGATGGTGTTGCTTTTATCATTTTATTTCCCAGTTGTCTTTGGCTAATATGTAGAACACAATTGACTTTTTTATTGACTTTGATCCTGTGACCTTGCTAAATGTTCTTATTAATTCTAGTAATTTTAGCAATAGATTTCTTACTTAGGATTTTCTTGACATAATCATGTAGTCATATTGTCTGCAAACTAAACCTTCCTCCTTTCAAAAATTTTTCTGTCTTTTACCTCTCTTAATTTACTATACTAGCTAGGATCTGCTGTACTGTGTTAAATAGAAATAGCAAATGTAGATTCTTGTCTGTGATCCTAGGGCTGGGTTTCTCAATGTTTGCTTAATTGAAATTTGGGTCAAGATAATTCTTTGTTGTGGAGACTGTACCGTGCATTGTAGCATGTCTAGCAGCATCCCTGGCTACTCACCTATGAGATGCTAATAGCATCCTCTGATGACAACTAAACATGTCTCCAGACATTGCCAAATATCACCTGGGGGACAAAATACACCCCCTGCTGAGAACCACTGTTAGGAAGAAAATGTTCAACACTTCACCATTAAGCATGATATTAACTATAAGAATTCTTGTTTTGAAACTCTATGGAAAATTTCAACCATAGAGAGTATACATTGAATATGGGTATACCCACCATCATTCTACCATAAATATTTTACTATGTTTGGTCTGGTGCATATCTATCCATCTATCTATCAATCCTCTATCCACTCATCAATCTACCTTATTTTTAAACACATTTCAAAATAAGATAGACACCAGTACATTTCTCCCTAAATAGTTTAGTATGCATATCATTACTTACATTTCAATATTTACATTGGATATAAATACTTATATATTATTTGCAGATTTTTTTCTTTTGAGGTAACGTTTACACACCAGGGTGCCAAAACAAATGTATATGCATGACTTGTATTTATCTTTTGCTATTGGTATATATTGAGTATTACAATTTTAGTACAGTTTTTTCCTTTCTTAAAATGTGTATACATTTTTTGGCATCCCCTGTATAATGAAATGCAGAAATCTTAATGAACATTCAGAGTTTTAACAAATGCATACAAGGTCAGGCAATTAAGTTTGCAAACTCATCCTAGAAAAAGTGCTACATACCTCATTGCTGAATATCACTACAGTCACCTTCGAAGTACTCCCCCTGGGAAGCTATGTACCTACGCCAGCGCCTAGGCCACCCTTCAAAGTAATTTTGGAACTCTTTTTCTAGAATGGCCATCAGAGCTGTTGTCGTATTATCCTTGATGTCCCGAATGTTATCCAAATGTCTTCCTTTCAACATTTCCTTTATCTTCAGGTAAAGAAAGAAGTCACTGGGGGCCAGATTAGGTGAGTAGGAAGGGTATTCCAATACAGACATTTGTTTACTGGTTAAAAACTCCCTCACAGACAGTGCCGTGTGAGCTGGTGCATTGTCGTGATGCAAGAGCCATGAATTGTTGGCAAAAAGTTCAAGTCGTCTAATGTTTCACGCAGCCTTTTCAACACTTCCAAATAGTAAACTTGGTTAACTGTCCAGCTGGTACAAATTCATAATCAATAATCCGTCTGATATCAAAAAAAGGTTAGCAACATCGTTGCAACAAGTTCACAAACTTAATTTTCACACCTCGTATATCTGTGTAACCCAAACTCTTATCAAATATAAAACAATGTTTTCCCGTAGAAATATAATGCAAGTCACATATATAATTCAGAATTTTCTAGTAGCCACATTAAAAACTTAAAAAGAAACTGCTAAAATTTACTAATATATTATTTACATCAATTATCTAAAATATAATTTAATATGTAATAGTAAAATATTACTAATATTTTACATTTTTTCTTTCCTAATAAGTCTTCAAAATCTGTTATGGATTTTGCATTTAGAATACATCTCAGTTCAGACTAGTCATATTTCAAGTGCTCAATCGGCCTATGTGGCCAGTGATCCTATAGTGGACAGCACAGACACAGAACGTTTTCTTTCTCCGGAAAGACCCCTCATGCCACTTCTAGTCAATCTCCATACCAACCTCCTTAGAGACAACCATTTTACCCCATCATTGTTTAGCTTTGCCTGTCCTAACATTTCCTGTAAATGGAATTGCACAATATGAAGTCTTTTGTGTCTGGCTTCTTTCACTCAGCATGTTGTTTCTGAGTTTCATTCATATTGTTACCTATATCAGTTTATTTCTTTTGATTGCTGAGTTATGTTGCATTGATGAATATACCATAGTTAACCCATTTTCCTATTGTGGGTACCTATGATGTTCTCAGTTTGGGGATATTAATAAAGCTGCTACAAACATCCTTATACAAATGTTTTTGGGGATGTATGCTTCCTTTGGAGTAAATACCTAGAATAGCTGTTTCATAGGATAGTTGTATAGTTAGTTTGATAAATTTCTAGACCCTTTTCCAAACTGGACTTTCCCATTTTAAGCTCTTGTTGATAATTAGGAGTTTTGATTCTTTCCTACTCAGAATAGTCAGTCTTTTAAATTTTGACCATTCTGGTGGGTATGTAATGGTATCTCAAAGTGGTTTTAATTTGCATTTCCCTAATGGCACATGATGTTAAAGTTTACATGTGCTTATTGGGCATTTCCATATTCTCTTTCATGAAGTGTCTGTTCAAATCTTATGTCTGCTTAAAAAAGTGGGTTGTCTTTTTATGAGTTGTTTATATATACTGAATCAGTCTTTTGACAAGTATATGCTTTACAAAGATATTTTTTCCTCTATGGTTTGCTTATTTAATTTCATGGTCTCTTTGGACACACAGTTTTAAATTTTGTTGAAGTCTAATTTATTAATTTTTTTTTAAGTGTTGCTTTATGTTCCTAAGAAATCTTTGCTCATCCTTGTTACAAAGCTATTCTTCTTTGTTTTCTTCTGAAGGTCTCATTGTTTTAGGTTTCATAATTAACTTTATGATCTATTTTGGATGAATTTTTGCATATCCTGTGACAGGGTCAACTTTTTGTTTTTCTATGTAGACAGCCAATTGTTCTAATGCCATCTGTTGAAAGTTTCCTTTCCTCATAGGGTCATTTTGGCACCTGTGTTGAAAATCAAATGACCACATAAGTGGACTGGATTTATTTTGTTATGTGCTCTGTTTTGTTTCATTGATGTAGGTATTGACCTGTAGTCTGTATTATATTGTCTTGGTAGCTGTAGCCTTATAGTAAGTCTTGAAATCACTCATTCTAAATCCAACTTTGTTCTTTTTATTTAAGATTACTTTAAATATTCTAGATCCTTTTCATTTCCATATAAATTTTATAATTAGTTTATCAATTTCTATCTAAAATTTCTACTGGTATTATGATTGGGATGGCATGAATCTATAGATCCATTTGTGGAGAACTGATATCTTGTAACATCTCTTCCATCTATCTCTTCCCATCCAGAAACATGTTATATATACACATTTATTTAGCTATCTTTAATGTCTACAAAAAATATTTTGTATTTTTTGGCATACATGTTTTCTATTTTGTTAAAAGTATTCATAAGTATTTCATGTTCCTTGATGCTATAGTAAGTTAAAATTTTATTTTCCAATTGTTTGCTGCTAATAAAAATATAATTGATTTTCCTATAATAATCTTAAATGTTATGATCTTGCTAAATTATCTTATTAGTTTTAATAGTTGGTGATACCTTAGGCTTTTGTATGCAAATAATCATTTGCAAATAGAGACGTTTTTATTTCTTCTTTCCTAATCTTTATGCCTTTTCTTTCTTTTTCTTGCCTTTTATACAGACATATAGTAAAATATTGAATTAAAAGAAACCTCATGAATGTGTATTAAATTTTGTTAAGTGTTTTTTTCTATATCTATTGAAAAAAAATTTTTAAGTATGTATTAAAAACCTGTCAAGACAAAGAACGACTCAAACAAATTTAGAAAATAGTTTTTGTTGTCAGTCTATCCCCTACCCACAACCATCCACCTTAGGGCCACATAGCTTCTGCACAAGACCACCACCTTCTGGCTAGTAACAGAGTCTGGGCTCAGAAACAAATCTTCTGGCTTTAAAGCTCCTGTTCTTTCATCAGCATCATCCATGGTGCCCTTAGAGTGGTTAAATACAAGAATTCTCATGACAGTGCTTTTAGGTTTTTTTTATTTTTATTTTTATGGATAAAATGCAACATACATATTATACTTAACAATGAAAAAGGATGGGACAAAATAATCATAACTTTTGAGATGGGAGACAACATAAAACATTGGCATTCCTTGTGACATTATATGATTTTTCAATCAAATCACACAGTTTTACAAAATAGTTGGAAAATTCCTGAAAGTATGCTGTTTTTAAATTAAAGTGTGTGTGTGTGTGTGTGTGTGTAAAACTATTGAAAATGCTTGAAAGAAACATTTTAATCCATGTCATATAATTTATTAAGTGACATATTTATTGAAAAGAGTTGAAAATGCCTGTCAGAAACTAGGAACTATTCAATCCCATAATATATACTCTTTTCAGGCATGTAATACATTTGGGGAAAACCGTTGAAATATGCTTGATAGAAAGAAGGAACATTTTAATCTCATATTACTTTTCAGTCAAGTGCAATAGGGTGAAAGCAGTTGAAACAATGCCTAAAAAGAAGAGATGAATATTAATTCCTGCATTTGAAAACCTGCATCTCAATATGGCTAAACACACAAGACAATGACTAAGGGACAACATTCTCTCAGAGTATACCACAGATTACAGAGTATTTTGGTTTTAAAGCTTTTGTTTAAAAATATTTTACATCATTAAATGTATATTATTAAATGTACATTGAAAGCTAACTGAAGTGACAAGTAAGACTCAAGAATAATTTGCAACAAAAATTGTTAAAGTCCATTAATTTCTTTTTTCCAAGAAAGGCAAGTGAGGTAGTTTATATTGTGTATATAAATTGTAAAGAAATTAATATTCCAGTTCGTTCAGAGATCATTCACTCCAAGATTGTTATATCCCTAAGTGAACTGCTTAACAAAGGGATCCTCTTTTGCAGAATGGTTGAAAAAATGAGCCAGTTGTACGACATTTTATGAATAAATGTTCTTAGAGTGTTAACTTTCTCTAATACTTTCCTGGGTATTATTTTCCTAAATGTATACAGCAAGAGCACTTGGGATGAGGTGGGATGGAAAGCTATTAAGAATAGAATTTAGAAGCCCATTACATGACTCTGCCTTTTTTTTCCCCCCAAATATACTATTTTTACAGATTACGGTAACTATTTTAAAACAACTCTTGATAAAGCAAAGATAGTTTTGTCAATATTTAGGTGAGTTTTGAATTTTAATTGTGTAGGGATTTGTTTATTCTTTAAGGATAAAATTAGTAAAAAGTACCTCTTTAACCCACATAAAAATTAGACTGTGTCTACTGAAAATTCTTCTCTAATCAGTTAGTTTACCCTATGACTGAAAATAAAAGTTATCAGTGGTTAATGACATTGGTATTGACATGGCCTTCCATATTATACAGCTATTTGAAAGTTGTCACAAGTCCTTCCATACATTAAAGTGATTAAAGTTTTTGACTCAGCTTTTTTGACATCCGAAATCACATAAAAGTGGATAAGAAATTCAGAAAGATTGTTTTTACCTGTCATCTGTTAGCCATTTGTTTAAAACTGATGACAGTGAAGTAAATTTTGAAACCTTTAAAACTTATGAATGGGTTCTAATGTGTTTTCAGTTAAAAGAAATGAAAATTCCCAAACAAAAAATTAAATGAATAGATCTGTGAATTTTCTATATAAACATAACAGAATTTATTCTAAATGATATGAAATACAATGAGATAAGTCAGCCATAGTTTTCATACATACATAGAAGGGTAAGGTAGCTAATTTGAAGGATTTTTTTTTTTGTGTGTAGGCATAAATTACTGTCCTCTTACATCTTTCAACTTAGCAACTACATAAAGTGAAATGTTTGCTCCTCTTTGACTTGCAAACATGATAAAAGCATTTTTTTAGACTCTTGAAATTCATTATGTAAACTCACATGTCATCAATTAGCCATACATTGAAAAATTGGTGAAATGTAAGAATAAATATAAACTTACAGAACATGTTTATTTTCTAATGTGTTTTCAGGAAAAGGAAATCAAAATTCTCAAATATATAAAATGAACAGATATTGAGTTTTCTATAAAACTATACCAAAATCCTAATGGGCAGAAATGGAATTATCTACATGTTGAATATAAATCATGTTTTTATAGACATCAAGGCATAATGCAGCATATAAAAATTTTCTTCTATATAGGGGCATAATTATTATCACATTATGTTTTGAGACTTGGTAAGTAGATAAAAGGTTTTCTGCATTTGTAAGCAAATTTGTCTATTGTTTGAATTGCAAGAGAGAGTTATTTGAATGTTAAATCTCATTAAAACTGATATAAATTCTTCAAAATCTAAACCCGTGGATTCTAATCCAAAGCACATGTGCGGGACAAATGAGACCCCTGTCCCATTTCTAGCTAACCCTGGAAGGTTTATATCTCAAGATGAAAAGCAGAGCTGTCTGACCCCTCAGCACGTTTTAAATTTGCTGTCAACTAGAATTGTGGGGGACTGTGTGTTCTCACCAAATGCATGCAATTTTGGAAAATGGTTCCAAAGGAGCTTGATAGCAAGACAGTTTTTTGCTTACCGAATATGCATCTGATTTTAAAGTCTGATGCTAATCCACAGTGCTTGGCTATGTCTACGATTGATAAACAGAAACAAAATCTATTTTTACAGCATGTAAAATCTGAATATAACAGTATTTTTCAGTACTCTTGGATAAAGAGCAATTGGATCAAGGTAGTTCTAAAGTTTTAAATCAGGGCTGCAGAAATGACTACCTACAGTTGTAAAATGTAAGAAATGATATGTTGGATGAGTCCCTGAAAGAAAATCAGTGCCTGGCACATGGAAAGCTATTCATTAAGCACCATAATCACGATGAGAAAAATAGAGGCTCTGTGATTTCAGGCTACAGGTTGTGAAAGCGTAAGAACACCCTTTGTCAAACTAAGCTTCACTAGGGGGGCCTGTGCTCATAAGGGAATAAACTTGAAAAATATCAGTTTTCAATGGTCCAGGAAAAAGAAATATTCATTTATACCAGAATGCCGATAGTCATGATGCAGTACAATATACATACCAATACAGTGTTCTTTAAACAGAAGTTCCTCCTCCTTTAACTCAGAAGCAAGTCAGAGCATAAATATTTATTGTGTAACTTTAGAAACTGATTCCCTTTTGAAAGTAGATCTGAATTATTTTGCAGAACAAACACTGTTGATGTTTCTGGCATTCTTGCTCCAAAAGGTCAATATATGTATATAACGTAAGTATAAAAATTTTTTTTCCACCTCTTCTATTTGGTAGCATTTGCTACATAAAGAAGTGTGTCTTATCCCAGGTATAGAACCACGTTCATTTCTGCTGTGAAGTCAAAGTACTAGAAACGATCAGAGTTCCTAATCTAGATTGGCCTTTCTTCAGGAAGGACCACAACTTCTTTCCTTCACTCATGTCAAGGAACCATCATGAGAAAGCTTTAGCTCAAATGGATAAGCTTCTCCTCTTCCATAGTTCATGTTGACAATGCTGGGAGACACCACTTGGACCAGGAAACACCAAGAGGGTTATAGGAACAAACATGTCAAAAGCAGTCTTTTTCCTCCCCTACTTAATGTAGAATGTTCTTGGCATATAATACACAATAGCTGCTGTTTTGAGTGGTATTTCAAAAACTTGATTGTGGTTTAATCACCCATTCTGCTTGAGGGTTTACATGATACACATCCAATATATAAGCATCTGGATCCAAGCAATGCTGTCCTAAGAAAAAGAGAAAATCAGAGAATGTTTTTAAGAGTGGCATTGCTGTGTGTAAGTGTGCATGTATGTGTGTGTTTGTAAGGTTCAAATAAGGCCAATATAGTTCTCTTAGCCAAAAATAAGTACAGCAAGTCCCCCGACTTACGAAGAAGTTTTCTGTTCTGGGAGAACGTTCGTAAGTTAGATTCGTTCGTAAGTCTGAAAAACTAAGTCTTATACTCCTTTGACACAAATACACAATGTAAAGCCAATGGTTGAACAATTCATGTTATAAGAATGAGCGACATCTACCATCATTTCGCCTTAGTCCAATCTCTCAATTATTTTCACTTTTGTTTCCATGGTTATTGCTTTGCGTTTCCTAACAGTCCCTTCCACATCACCACTGCTTTTCCCCTTGCATCCTGGGCTCTGATTGAGCACTGTACTACTGTACACTATCGCACTGTACAGTAAGCACACAGCAGCACAACTGTGACAATGTCCGGCAGACACGTGAGCGACTTCCATGATTTGTTCGCATCTACAGGTGTTCTAATGTGAGGTGTGTTCGTATCTGTGAAAGTTCGCAACTCATATGTTCATGAGTCAGGGACTTACTGTACAGTACGTGCTTTCCTTTATATTTTATTTTTTGTTTACTTATATTTCCTTTATTGTTTATAGAGTTGAGTAATTTAGTTATTAGATACTTCCATATTTTTACTGACATTGACAAACAATAAACAATTAAAATATATAATGAGACAAAAAAATTTAGAAGGTGAAAATCATAGGGTGCTTATACAAATCTAGATGGTACAGCTGGTACTATAATTCTATGTGCTATAGTTTTATTTGACTGGCAGCACAGTAGGTTTGTTTACATCATCATCACCACAAACACATGAGTAATGTGTTGCATTATAACATCATGACAGCTACAATGTCACTAGGCGAAAGGATGTGTGCTGCTCCATTAAAATGTTATGGGAACACTGTCATATATGCAGTTCATTATTGACCAAAAGTATAACTGTAGATACATTTTAAAATTTCTTAACAAAGCCTGCCTGCTTTCCTTCCCTCCTTCCTTCCTTTGTTTCTTTCTGACTGTTAAATACTTCAAATAAATCCCATGTGAAACTGTGGAAAAAACAGACATATCAACCACAGGCAAATGGTTCCCTAGACTCACCACATTTATTAGCCAAATATGGCAAGGGCTTGTTTAGGGTATAAACTGATCATTTATATTATAACAACACATGTCCTTTAATGATTATACAGGTAGTAATTTGACCAGGATTAGAGAAGATTAAAAGCAAGATTCATTTTAGTTTCTTTATTATGGATACAATGCCCATAGACAGGAGATATGGAAATAACAACAAAAAGATCATTTGAAAATCTTTATATACAGTGTGCTTGAAATGTTACCAAGATCTGAGTGCCTGCCTCATTCATTCGTTTATCAAATATTTATTGAGAGTTATTATGTTCCAGGAACTACTTTAGGGGCTGGGGCTATAGCAATGCATTAGACAGTCAAAACACTTGCCTTCAGGGTGCTTACATTCTAAAAGTGGTAAAGGCAACTAGCAAATGAGCAAGTATAATATAAAGCAAGTCTGATGGTGATAAGAACATTAGAGAACAACAAAGCAAGAAAGGAAAATAAAGAGGGTATGACCCAGGAAGGTCACACTGAGGTAATACAGTGGCAAAGACCTGAATGAAGCAAGGAAGTGAGAAATGAACAATGTGAAAGAGAGTATTATGGGCAAAAATCAGAACAAATGCAAAGACCCCAAGGCAGGATGTGCCTGGTGACTGAATATACAAAGTTGGTGTCTGAGGGAAAATCTGGATGTAAATGTGACAGGCATCAGCATACAGGTGTCATCAAAGCAATAAGATGAACTGATCTCACCAAGGAAGTTAAGTGTAGACAGAGAAGAGTTCAAAGGCCAAGCCCTATAGCTCTCCAGTCTTAAGAGGTTGAGATGAGAAGTTCCAAGAAAAAGAGACTCGTAAGGAGTAGCCCGTGAAGTGGGAGGGAAGCCAGAAGCTTAGGTTGTCCTTGAAACCAGGTGAAGAAAGTGTTTTTCCAAAGAAGGAAAAGATCAACTCAGGCAGTTATAAAGACAGACTGAACTGTTGGATTTCACAACATAAGAGTTCTCTGGTGACTTAGACAAGAGCAATTTTGATGAAGTTTTGAAGAGCAAAGCTTGAGTGGAGTGGTTTTAAGAGAGAACAAGAGGAAGAGACTGGAATACAGACAACTGATTGAGGAGATTTTGCTGTAAAGTGGGACAGAAATGGGAATTGACCTGAGAGGGTCAAGAGAGAGTTTTTTAAAAATGAGAGTAATTACCAATTTTTTTTTTTTTTTTTAGCTGAGCTAAAAAACTGTTGGCAGCTCAGCGGCAACTCAGCTCGGGACGTGAATTGAACTGGCGACCCTGTTGTTCAGGGCTTGCACTCTTGAGCGAGCTCTTAACCAACTGAGCCACTCGGCCAGCCTCAAAATTTTTATGCAGATAGAAATGATGCAGTTGGAGGGAAAAGCTGGTGATATAAGAGAAAATGGGGGAATGACTGAATCAATGTCCTAATTGGGCAGGAGGGGACAGAAAGTAGGCGTGAGTGGAGACACTGATGATAAATAGGAGCACAGATATTTCATCTGGACTGTGAAGGAGGGCAAGCAGAAGATATGGACACAGAGGCAATCAGAGGAAAATTTCTAATTGCTAAAAAGCAATTTTCTTTTGATTCCTTTTTTAACCCTCAGGGAAATAAGAAGAATGAGCTGAGAGTGAAAGCAGGAAAGTTAAAAAAAAAGCTGTCATGAATCTGAAAGTTCTATGATGTTCTTTTCTTTGTTTTACATGACTCTCTAGAAAGAGACTTTCCAAGTTTGAGTCACATTTAAAAGACTCAAAAGTCTACCCATGTCAACTAAAATCTTGAATATATATTTTAGGAAAGTCATACTGTTCTTACATGATATTAAAAAAATCAGTCTGGTCAGAATGGCTATCATCAATAAATCAACAAACAACAAGTACTGGCGAGGCTGTGGAGAAAAGGAAACCCTGGTGCACTGTTGGTGGGACTGCAGACTGGTGCAGCCATTATGGAAATCAGTACGGAGGTATCTCAAAAAGCTGGAAATGGAACTACTGTATGACCCAGCAATTCCACTGTTGGATATCTATCCAGAGAAACCCAAGATGCTAATTTGAAAAAATAAATGCACCCCTATGTTTATTGCAGCGCTATTTACAATAGCCAAGATTTGGAAACAACCGAAATGCCCATCGGTAGATGACTGGATTATGAAACTGTGGTACATTTATACAATGGAGTATTACTCCACTATAAAGAAGAATGAAATCGTACTATTTGCAACGATATGGATGGACCTAGAGACTATTATGTTAAGTGAAATAAGTCGGTCGGAGAAAGACAAATACCATATGATCTCACTTATTTATGGAATCTAAAAAACTGAATGAACGAGCAAAGTAAACAGAAATAGTCTCAGAGACAGAGGAAAAACTGATGGTTGCTAGTTGGGAGGGGGGTGGGGATGAGGGAGAAGGGGAAGGGATTAGACAGCATAAATACGTAACTACAATATTGCCACAGGGATATGAAAGACAGTTTGGGGAATATAATTAATAATGTTGTAAATATTTTGTAGGGTGTCAGATGGACACATGTTTTGTTAGGGAGACCACATCATAGCTGGGGTAGAGGCTTGATCATTGCACTGTACACCTAGAGCTGATGTTGTATAATATTGTATGTCAACTATAAGTGAATATATATATATATATATATATATTTATGGGACGTGGAGTATAGTGTGGGAGTGGAGTCAAGGGAATTGTAATAGATATGTATGATATTGTGGGGAGGGTGGGGCAGCAGATTGGGGGAGGGAGGTTGTCACTTCGAGGGGTAAAAAGTATAACTATTGCACTGTGTTGTACAGCTGAAACTAATTTTAAAAAATGTGTATTTCACAATAAAGAAAAATAATAAAAAAAATCAGAAATGTACTGATTTTGAATTTATATCTATGAAGCTTGTAAAATATACTTTTACAATAATAGTATTGTATTTCTTTTAGAGTAATCAGAGAAATTAGGAATAAAAATTGTTAAAGAATCCTTACCTATATTTCCTCCAATTTCATATAATCTTTGGTTCTGAATTTTAATGCATTCCGGTGAACCATGACTGAAAAAAGGAAAAAGCAATTAATTTTAACCCTCTTTCATGATCTGAGGTAAATCTGTAGATTAAATAACCATGGCAACAAAGAATTCATTCTGCCTTGAGTGAAATACACTCCACAAATGATTATTATGGCTGAAGCTATGATAAAAACTTTTTTGTGTTTCTTTTACACAGACAAGCATCTGAGGCACAGAGAGGATGGGAGTATTCCAAACCAAATTGGGATGCCGTGGTGCTCCACAGCAACCTGGAACCCATTCTATCCACAACTGTCAGCTCCATTTTAAAGAGGTAACTGTTGCTGACATATAAAAGCTGGCCAAGGAGCAGCTGGGCATTTAATATTGCCTTGTCACTGGTCACATTAACCTCAGCTCAAAAAAAAGTCAGATTTCATTTCTGTATTTGCCAAAAATTGAATGGGATTCTCTCCTCAGCCCATGTCACATTTCTAAGCTTGCCTCATGCTTTGCTGTCTAAGGTTGATTTCATTATGTCTCTGCTCTATAATGAAATAATAAAAGCAAGGCAGAGAACATAATTGCCCAATAGTATTTTCTACCCCATACTAGAATGCTGGGGTAGAACAGCCTGGAAAGGCCATTGCTGATCCCCATCCCACTTCAGGAATGACTTTCAACTTGGTTACTTCAAAATATTGTCCTCACTCTCTATTGTGAGGAAGAAGGAAATGTGCCTTCTTCTTTGTTTAATTAAACTTTTTGAGTTAGTTGTAAATTTGCAAGCAGTTATAAGATATTATACAGATATATCCTGTGCACCGTTTACCCAGTTTCCTCTAAAGTAAAATACTGAAAGACTCTAGTGCAACATCACAACCAGAATGCTGATAATGATTCAGTCAAGACACAAAACATTTCCATCATCACAAGATCTGTCTGTTCCCTTTTATAGCCACCCCCCCCTCCCTGTCCTCCTTCCTATCCCTACCCCCGTCTTTTATCCTCTACTCTATTCTACACTTCTAAAAATTTGTCATTTCAAAATGTTATGTAATGGAACTCTGTTGTATTGGATTTCTTTCAATCAGCATAAATCCCTGGAGATTCACCCAAGTTGTATTTTTATTGCTGAGTAGCATACCATGGTATGGACATGCTGTAGTTTGTTTAGTCATTACCTGTTGAAGAACATCTGTTTTTTTTTCAGGTTTTGATTATTATAAATAAAGCTGATATTATTATTTGTGTGCAGCTTTTTGTGTGAACATAGTCTTAATTTCTTTGGGATAAATTCCCAGGAATGTGAATGCTGGGTTCACATGGTAGTTGCATATTTAATTTTATAAAAATAAACAACTGTCAAACGGTTTTACAGAGTGAGTGTATACTATTTTACATTCTCATCAGCAATGTATGAGCCATCCAGCTTCTCTGTATCTTTGCCAGTACATTTTAGCCATTTTCATAAGTATTTAATGATTAAAGATAAGGAATACTTTTTCATGTCCATATTTGTCACCTGTATATCCTCTTTGGTGAAATGTCTGTTCATGTCTTTTCTAAAATTTCAAATTCATTTGTTTGGGTTTTTACTTTATTTATTCTAGATATTAGTCCTTTGTTGCATATGTGATTTGTAAATATTTTCTTTAAGTCTGTAGCTTGTCTTTTCATTCTTTTCACAGGGTCTTTCAGTGTATAAATTTTCAATTTTGAAGAAGTCTAATTTATAAATTTTTATCTCTGGTGAATCATGTTTTTGATGTTAAGTCTAAGAACTCTTCACTTGCCCTATATAACAAAGGTATGTCTTACGTAATTTTCCAAAAGTTTTATAGTTTCATGTTTTACATTTTATCCTGTGATCCATTTGGGTTAATTTTTTTTTATAAGATATGAGGTTTAGGTCAAGGTTGTTTTTTTTTTTGCCCATGGTCCAAAATTTTCTTTCTACAAAAGGTCTACATCAGAGTACAAAGACAGCTTTGCAACACATGTAAGTAGAAATTTATTGAATGCCCAAATCCCTTGAATGAAATTTCAAGTCCTTCTATTACTTCAAGTGGTAACTATTTACAGTGTTTCAGGTGTCAGGGACAGCAGCAGTAAATTAAATCAGAGGAGTAAATGTTTCGGGCTCCTGTTGGCCTCTGTCTACTCTTTTCTTTTCTATGGAAGCCATATATATACGACTTTCCAGTACCTGGTAACCACTAATCTATCCTGCATTTCTAAAATTTTGTAATTAAAAAAATATTATATGAATGGAGTCTTGCAGTATGTAATCTTTTGCAGCTGGATTTTTTGCTCAACATGGGTAATCCTTTTAATATGATTTCAAATATTTTTAAGGATATCTATCTGAGTTTAATTACAGACCATCAAACTGTACCTGCTCTCTAGTGGACAAATTTAAATGACTGTTTCTCATCTTTTAAAAATCTCAGGGCAAATGTTTATCCACAAATAAGCATGCCTAGACAAAAATTATGATTTATACTCTTTCAAGGTAATTTATGGCAAATATGCAAGAAGATTTTTGTTTTTTTTCATAAATATCATTCTGATCCCAAGGTTTATTGATAGTATATTTTAAGGAAAGCAACAGGTATGATGTTCACTTAACTACATTAATTTTATCTGATATAAGCATGTTAAAGCCCATTGGCGAATGGAATAATATTAAGAGATCTACAAAACTAACGCTATAATTTATTCTAATAAAAAGGAAAATTCATTGAGGGCCGGCCGAGTGGCTTAGTTGGTTAAGAGCGTGAGCTCTGAGAGCAGCAGGGTTGCCGGTTCTGTTCCCAAATGGGCCAGTGAGCTGTGCCTGAGCTGAGCTGCTGCTGAGCTGCCAACAGGTGGCAGGATGGCTCAGCTGGTGAGAGCATGTGCTTCTACAATAACAACAAGGTTTCCAGTTCAACTCCCACATGGGATGGCGCCCACCCACAACTAAGATTGAACACGGCACCTTGAGCTGAGTGGCCGCAAGCTGCCAACGGGCAGCCGGATGATGACTGGACTTGGAGCTGAGCTACCTGCACCCTCCACAACTAAGACTGAAGGACAACAACTTGGCTGCTGCCCTGCCCCAACTCCCCAATAAAATCTTCAAACAAACAAACAAACAAACAAACAAACAAACAAACAAACAAACAAAAAACCAAAACTCATTGAGTAAATGAAAACACCAAGACAGAATAGGTATCCTGTCAGGAATCCCATTTATAACCTTAAACCATACACAAAAATTATTCAAAATGGAGTAACACTTTAATAAAGACCTAAAACCATAAAACTCCTAGAAGAAAATATAGGCAGTAAGCTCTTTGACATTGATCTTGGCAATGGTTTTTTGAATGTGACACCAAATGCAAGGCAGCAAAAGCAAAAATAAACAGTGGACTATGTCAAATTAAAAAGATTCTGCACAGCAAAGGAAACCATCCAAAACAATGAAAAAACAACCTATTTAATGGGAGAAAATATTTGCAAATCATATATCTGAAAAAGTATCCAAAATATATAAAGAACTCATAAAACTCAATAGCAAAAACAAAACAAAAGAAAACACAAAAAACATCAGAGAGTGGGCAGAAGATCTGAAGAGGTGTTTTTCAAAATAAGACATACAGATAGCCAGTAGGTTCATGAAAAGATGCTCAAATCACTAATCATCAGAAAATGCAATTATATATCATTTAATGTTATTCAACCATCAAAAATGATATCTTTCCATTTGCAACAACATAAATGGACCTTGAGGACATTATGCTAAGAGAGATCACACAGAGAAAGACAAAGGACATATGATTTCACTTATATCTGGAATCTAAGAAACCAAAAAACCATAAAACAAGAAAAAGTCAATCTAGCAGATACATATAAAAGATTATGGGCTGCCAGAGTTGGGGGGAGGGAAAGGGGGTTGGGAAAAATGGGTGAAGGTGATCAAAAGGTATAAACTTCCAGTTATAAAATAAATAAGTCATGGGGATGTGATGTAAAGCATGAAGACTATATTTAATAATACTGTATTGCATATCTGAAAGTTGCCAAGAGAGTAGATCTTAAAATTTCTCATCACAAGAAAAACTTTTGTACTACACATGGTGATGGACATTAACTAGACTTATTGTGGTTATCATTTTACAACCTATACAAATATCAAATCATTATGTTGTATACCAGAAATGAGTATAATATTATATGTCAATTATACCTCAATAAAAGAATAAAAAGTTCCACTTATAGAAATTCCTTTTAAAAAACTGAAACTTCTGTTGCCGACAATTCTCTAGTCTACTAACTTCTTTCTCTATATTTGACTCTTCATCTATTGGTAAAGTCCCCAAAGTAACAGGTTCTAATTTTTCAAAAAGGCCAAATTTGTCAATTGCTGGAAAGTAATTCATCTGATAAAAGTTCATCATCTTTTACAGAGACATTTATTCACTTTTACTCACCTGTTCTCATATTGAAATTTTGCCAGTATGTCTTTAGCTTTGGTTTGACTATTGAGTTGAATGGCCATGGACACCTTCGAGAGAAGCGGAGCATGAACCCTTATGACTCCCTCCGGCACGTCAGACTGCCAATGAGGAAAAGTTTAGTACATTCTGTCAAATTAGGATGAACATCAGTTCAATGACTACACTTAAGAAAGATGAAAATCAGTGGCACTCTGAATTAGGAAATCATGTAAACATGACCAGTGTTTAACCAGAATGAAACACTGCTTTCTTTTTAACAAGAGATTCAATGAAACTTAACTTGGGATTTTACTGTTACTAAACACCTAAGTCTTATTGTAATGCCTTAAAATCATGAGAGAAATAAAACTGGGTTATGGGGAAAATCTAATGTTTCTATTACTTCATTTCCTTAAACAATGTCCTAAATAAGCCTACTTCAAGCAGAATTCTGATTTCAATATATTTTAAGATCAATCTTTGGAAAAATTTAAGGAACAATTAGAAAATAGATGGACACTTGAAACCTAATCCCTCAAGGTGTGCTAATAACACTGTGAAGAGCAGAGCATAGACTGCTACTGGGGAAGAAAATCTGATTCGGTGACATGATTGGCCTAGGGACTTTGGAGCTCTCTTCTAAATGAAATATTCAAAGAATTTTCTTGTCTAATTAATAGAAATTTCTCTTGTCAGGATTGACTGGAAAATACCTTCGTTCAAAATTTTGAGTGTTTTAAAAATTCCCTATCTAGAGATGAACAGAAATAAACATGTAGTTGAGGGTCTGCTACTCCTCGGGTAATCATTTTAAATTCTCAAAGGATGGTATTGTTGATGTAGATTTATATGAATTGATTCAATATATACCCTAGAAGGAATACATTTTGCATTGAATTGTGTCTCCACAAAGATATGTTGAAGTCCTAACTCCCAATACCTGAGAAGATGACCTTATTTGGAAATAGGGTCACTGTAGATATAATTACCTAAGATGAGGTCATACTAGAGTAGGGTAGGCCCTTAATCCAATATGACTGATGTCCTTATAAGAGGAGAAGACACATACATATGGTGAATGCCATATAAAGATGGAGGCACAGATTGGAATGATGTACCCACAAACTAAAGAACATCAGGGATTACTGGCTAGGAATGATGTCAAGAAAAGATCCTTCTCTCACAGCCCTCAGAAGGAACTAACCAAACCAACATCTTGATTTTGGACTGCTAACCTCCAGAACTGTGAGAGAGTAAATTTCTATTATGTTAAGCCACCCAATTTGTGGTATTTTGTTATGGCAGCACTAGGAAACTCATACAAAAATTTAAAAAATAAGGTCAGTTCTTGTGCTATTCTCTTAATACCAGTAAGAACCAGGAGAGCATGGCAGGGTATGTATATAAGAATTTGGACTTGTGTGGGGGCAGAGTGCCCCTGGTTCATTGCAGCCAAGACTGTACTCTTGAAACACTTTCTTGGTCATCTCATGTCCTCTCCTTCCAGCTCCCCAAAAGCCTCTGAAGAAAAACTCCATACTCCTGATATAATTGAACCTATAGTCATAATAATCACATTTTCTTTATAACTTCCAGTAGTATTCACGCTTGCGTTCAGATGCCTAACCACACATTTTAACTCATCAGTTAGTTGAGTTCCTATACCATTCCTTTATGTGTCAAACTGAATATGTTAAGTTTGAAGGATATATCGTGACCAAACTTATACATAGATATGGTGGATGTAGCCAGAGAATATTACATAGATAGTTAATAATTAGGGAGGAAAGGAAATTATTTGTTTTTTTTAGCTGAGCCATCCTGCCACATGTTGGCAGCTTAGCTTGGGTCCATGTGGGAATTGAACCAGCAACACTGTTGTTCAGAGCTCGCACTCTTGGGTGAGCTCTTAACTAATTGAACCACTCGGCCGGCCTGTCTTACCATTCTTCTTGAAGAGGGTGATTTTTGTAGTACCTTTGACATCTTGGGGCCTGTAACCTAAATAAAACACATTTAATTTTTAGGATTAATGTTGGAAAAACAAGCATATGCTGCTGTTAGAAGTAAAAACTTGTATAATCTTTTTGGAAAACATTTTGGAATATTTACCAAATTACAAAATGTATATGTACTTTGACCTAACAATTCCACATCTATAAATGTATCCTACAAATATACTTCATTTGTAAGAAATGATATATAACAAGTTTATTCATCGATGCATAAATCAAAATAGCAAAAGACTAGACACAATCTAACTGTTCAACAATGGGATGGCTTAAATAAATTACGATGTGTCTGTGGAATATTATGCAAAAGGAGCAGAGAAGAAGGATTTGTGGACCAATGTGGAATAATCACCATGATTTCCTAAGTCAGTAAAGCAAGTTGCAAGACAGTATTTCATGTGTGTTACCTCTCATGTAAAAAAGGGGAAGAATACATACTGATATTTGCTTGTATGTGCGTAGCACCTCTCTGGAAGAATATACCCCTGCATGTTCCGGTGCACACATACCCTGTCACTGGTGACATTATTCGCCTCTGGGAGGGGAAGACAGAGGTGGCCAATTTGTATTCTATAGTCTACCCCAGCTTTTGAAATTTGTAACTGGTTAATGAACTGTCTATTCCAATCAAAGTTATAAATTTAAAAAAAACATAATATTATATCTTTAAATTCTGCCTTGGTTCTATTTACAATTAAAACATTAAAGTAATTAACATTCATATAGCACTGTACCATTTACAAAGTGCTTTAAACACACAGTATATGAATTGATGCTAATGATAACTCTGTGAGATAGATAACATTAATGCCCCCCCACCCCCAATTTCTAAAAATGTTGAGATTCAGAGAAAGACTTTAATTTGCCCAGGCTCATATGGCTAGTAGTTGTCAAAGCCTTACCTGACCTCAGTTTCAGCTCTACACAGATCATACTTTTGCCATTAAATTTTCCAGAGTGAAATTAGCATAGTAAGGACTCCAAAAGTCTGCCCCTCCATAAAAGCCATGAATAAACTAACAAAAAACTGTCAGTATCAACTTTTTCAGGCTTTGTGATACTAAATCAAAGGTTGCAACTAGGGGAGTGCTTAAGTAAGAAAAACAGCTGAATCTTGGTAAGAAAAGCAAGCTTTGTAGTATTTTTAATTACACTTTCCCCATCTCTCTTCCTTGCTCTTTGATGGCCTTGAAAATAACAGCCTGATATAGGTACTGGAGTGAGCAAAAAAAAAAAAAAAAGACCTCACTCACAAAGAATTCTAACTATTTGTTCTGACTTGTCCGGTGGCTCCCTGAAAGAGTGCTCAAAAGGTTTGCCTTTAGCTTGCCTAATTTGGAACTTGATCAATGCTAAAATGGTGTATTGTTGAAAACATCTATAGGCAAATATTTTAGTCATTGTTGCTTGAGGCAGTGGATAAGAGTTGTGGAAAACAATAGAATAACTAAAAAGCTTTGGAGGCAAGCCTAGAGGTTAGATGCTTTGAGGAATAAGGGCTTTGGAAAGTTAATATATTCCTGAGAATCTGGAAGGCCACATTCATGTCTAGGAAAGACCCAAAGAGAACGTAAGCTCTCACCTCTGGCTGTCTAAGCAGGAAGTGAAGGTGCTGCCTCACTGAATGTTGAAGATGTACACCCACAAACACACAGAGCTCATCTGCAAAGACTTGGAGTGTTTTTGGTTCCAGGGGTTTAAGCAAAAAATATCTGTCCAAAAAAATAGCTAACCACTAAGCCAATGGAACAGTGACTTCAGTAGCCACACAAAACAAAGAATACAGACTTTACAAAATTAGTTCAGCAGAAAGGTCACTAAACCTGTAAACAACAGCTAAATAGCAGCAACAACAAACCCTGGGGAGGAGGAAATAATTGTATTTCCAAATTTGCCACATTATAATACTCCAAATGTTCATTCTACAATAAAAAATTGTGAGTCAGGCAAAAAATGGCAAGAAAATATGGCCTATAAAAAGGAAAAAAAATAGTTTCAGAAGGAACTCCTTAAAGAAACCTAGACATTGACCTTACTAGAAAAAAACCTTCAAATCAGCTAATTTAAATATGTTTAATGAAGTAATGGGACCCATGTCTACAAAACTTAAAAAACCATGAAAATGATATCTTATCAAATAGAGAATATCAATAAAGATGTAGAAACAATAAAAAGGAATCAAATAGAAATTCTGGAGCTGAAAAGTCCAACTGAAATGAAAACCCACTAGAGGAGCTCAACAGCAGATTTAAAGAGGCAGGAGAAAAAAAATCAGCAAATTTGAAGATAGGTCAATTGAGATTATCCAGTTTGAGGAACAGGAAGCAAAAAGTATGAAGAAAAAGGAACAGAACCTAAACCTAAGACACTGTGAGACAACATCAGGTGCACCAATATATACATAATGAGAGTCCCAGAAGGACAGGAGGGAAAGGGAGAAAGAATATTGGAAGTAATATTGACTGAAAATTCCCCCAAATTGCTAAAAGACATTGATGTACCTATCAAAACCAAATTCCAAACAGATGAACTCAAAGAGGTCCACGCCAAAATACATCGTAATCAAGCTATCAAAAGACAAGAAGAATCCCGAAAGCAGCAAGAGAAAAGCAACTCATCACACACAAGAGAGCCTTACTCAGATTAACAGCTGATTTCCCAACTGAGACCATGGAAGCCAGAAAACAGTGAGAAGACATATTCAAAGTGTTGAAAGAAAAACCTGTCAACCAAAATTTTATCTGGCAAAATAATCCCTTAAAAAATGGAGAAATTAAGGCAGATAAACAAAGCTGAGAGAATTCATTACTAACAGACTTTCTCTACAAGAAATGCTAAGGAGAGTTCTTTAGGCTGAAATGAATGGCGCTATATAGTAATTCAAATTCACATGAAGTAATAAAGAATGCCAATAGAGGTAACTACACAGGTAAATATAGAAGAAAGTATTAACATATTTTGGTTTATAACTTCATTTTTTTCCAAATCTAATTTAAAAGACAAGTGCATAAAGCAATAATTATGAGTCTATATTGATGGGCACAGAATTTATAAAGATGTAATTTGTGGCAACAGTATAAAGTAGAGGCAGCAGAGGTATAGGTGAAAAGTTTTTATATACTATTGAATTTAAGGTATTATTAATATAAAGTAGATTTTTTATAAATTAAGATGTTACTTGTAATCCTCAGGGCAACCGCTAAGAAAATAATTGAAACATATATAGAAAAAAAGAAAAGAAAAGAAAGAATTAAATGGAGGAGAAATGGACAGTTCTACAATAGCTGGAGACTCCAATACCTCACTTTTAATAATGGATAAATGGACTAGATGGAAGATCAGAAAAAAGGTAGAACACTTGAATAATACTATAAGCAAGTAGACCTAGCAGACAGTTATAGAACACTCCACCCAACAATGGCAGAATCAATTCTTCTTAAGTACACATATAACATTGTCCAGGATAGATAATATGTTAGAGCACAAAACAATTCTGAATGAAGTTTAAAATATCAAAATAATTGAAAGTATGTTCTCCAACCACAATCTGATGAGATTAGAAATCAATAACAGAGAAAATTTGGAAAATTCACAAATATGTGAAAATTAAACAATATACTCTTAAATAACCAATGGATAAAAAAGGGAATTAGAGATTTTGAGATGAACAAAAAAGAAACACAACATACCTAAACTTATGGGATGGAGCAAAAGTAGTGTTCAGAGGAAAATTTATAGATGTAAATGCCTACAATTAAAAAAGAAAGATCTCAAATCAATAATGTAAACTTCCACCTTAAGAAAGTAAAAAATGCAAACTAAACCCAAAACAAACACACACAATGAAATAATAAAGATTAGAGTTTTAATAAGGACTAGAGAATAGAAAAACAATAGAGAAAATTAATGAAACAAAAGTTGGTTCTTCCAAAAGATCAACAAAATTGACAAACCTTTAGTTAGCTGACCAATATAAAAAGAGAAAACTCAAATTATTAATCAGGAACATAATTAGGGACATTACTACCAACCTTACAGAAATAAAAAGTAATGTAAGAGAATACTATGAGAAATTTGTATGGCAACAAATTAGATAAACTAAATGAAATAGGCAGTCCTAAAAACACAAACTATCAATATTGACTCAAGAACAGAAAATCTGAATAGAGCTATAATAAAAGATTCAGTCAGTATTAAAAAATATTCCCACAAATACAAGTCCAGGACCAGATGGTTTCACCAGTGAATTCTACCACACATTTAAAGAAGAATTAGCACTAATCATTCTCATGCTCTTTCAAAAAAGAGAAGAGGGAACACTTCCCATTAAGCCAGTATTACCCTACTTTCAAAGCCAGACAAAGACATGACATGAACTTAAAACTGTAGACCAATATCCCTTATGAATGTTAATGCAAAAACCTTCAACAAAATACTAGCAAGCTGTACAGCAGCATATGAAAGGATTATACACCTTGGCCAAGTAGGATTTTCCTCAAGAATGCAAGGTTAGTCCAACATATAAAAATCAATCAATATAACATACCATATTAATAGAATGAAGAAATAAAGCCAATTATCATCTCAATATATATGGAGACAAAGCATTTGACATAAATCAGAATGATAAAAAACACCCAAGAAACTAATAATACAAGAGAGTTTTCTCAAACTATAATGGGAATCTAAGAAAAACTCACATATAACATCATACTTAATGGTGAAAGGCTGAAACCTTTCCCCTTAAGATCAGAAACAAGATAAGGATCTTTGCTCTTGTTTTCTTAATATTCTACTGAAAGTTCTAGTCAGGGCAATGAAGCAAGAAAAAGAAATAAAAGGCACCCAGAGTGGAAAGGAAGAAGGGAAATTATCTCTATTCACAGAAAAAAAAAAATATATATATATATATATATACACAAACAGACACGTGTGTGTGTGTGTGTAAAATGCTAAAGAATCTACACAAACAAAACAAAACAAAACTTTTAGAATAAATGAATTCAGCAAAACTTCAGGGTAAAAAGTCAATATATAAAATTTAGTTGTATTTCCATACACTAACAATTAACCGCCCAAAAGTTAATTAAGAAAACAATTCAATTTATAACAGCATAAAAAATACTCAGGAATAAATGTGATCAAGGAAGTGTAAAAGTTATACACTGAAAACCATAAAATATTGAAAGAAATGATAGAAAACCTAAACAAATGGAAAGATAACTCATTTTCATGGACTGGAAAACAATATTATTAGGATGGCAGTAGTCCCTATGAAAAGTCCGAGTACCTTTATTTTTTTGGCAGAAATGGAAAAATTGATCCTAAAATTCATGTAGAAATGCATGGACCACTCCCCCTTGCGCCCCCCAAATCAAAGTTATTTGAAAACTTAAAAGTTGGAGTACTCATATTTTTCAATTTCAAAACTTAAAGCTACAGTAATCAAAATAGTGTGGTACTGGCATAAGAATACACATACAGATCAATGGACTAGATTAAGAATATAGGAATAAACTTATACATCTATCATCAATTAATTTTTTTTTTTAAGATTTTTATTGGGAAACTGCAGGGATGGGAACAAGGCTGGGTAATTGGGGGAAAGGGAACAGACAAGTTGCTGTCCTTTTGCTCTTCAGTCTAGTTGTGGAGGACGTTGCTTCACTGGCCCAAGTTGGCACCATCATTGCGCTCTTCCCGGGTAAGGCAGATCAGTCGCCGGCTTCTGGACGGCGGCTCACGCTGGCTGCTGGCTACATACGGTAGCCCATGGCAACCCACTGCCAC